ACGTTCACTTGCTGTAGATCTGTTGTCTTTTTTAGCAGGGCTGTTTTTCACGATAAGATCCGACGTCGTGGTAGACTTGTAGTAGATGTTGAGTTGCAGTTTTGTGTTCCGTTTCTTTGGTGTAGTATTTTTGTAAACGATATCCTTTAGAATCCGTTCGTCTGTCTTGTATGCAGTGTAGAATTGGTTTTTATAGTAGACTTGAGTTGTTCAGTGGAGTTGTCGGTAGTGGTGTTTTTTTGGCGGCTGTCCAGGTATCGTTGAAGTGTCTTGTCGAATGTGGTATTACTATATCCATTACTATATACTATATCTTTATAACCGAGTTGTAAAGTTTGTAAATTTCAATCAGAAGTTGACGTGGTGAAACTATAAATTTAGGTCAGTAAGTATTTTTGCTACATATAGTAACTAGTAATATCGAAACAGTACTCTTCAGTGAACATTTTCATAAAAGTCACTTCTTTATGCATTATTTCTGCTACAGTATGTTCTGCACTTTGTTTAACTAAACACCTGTGTGCTTATGAAGATTTCTTACTCACCCGTGACAGAGTAGATGATAATTGGGTCATGGTCTTGTTAAAGCTGATGTACTTGAATATCTTAATCCAAGCAAAAAAAACATCTATGGCCACAGCATTGTTAAATTGCGTCTGCCAAAACCCAAGAAACTCGAAGTCAGAGAAGACATCTGGATTTTCAAGTAGACTTTCCATCACATTGTTCACCATTAATGTTCTAAAGATGCTGAACGCTATACACAGCAATGAGATCTAAGATGAGGGTGTTGGGAAAGGATGAAAGGTAATAAAAAATGTTATATATTTGAATCACAGAAGTTACGTTCTCTTTAAATTTCTATTACAGTACCATTACACATTACAAAAAGATAGATCTACAAAACTCAATTCTGTTAAAAATTAATGAATAGACTGATCACGATGATAGTGAATGTCCATAAGACTCCTTGTAATTGTTTATGTAAATATGTAACAAACTATTAGATATCAAATATTCCTATTTTACGATTTCAAGCAGTATTAGTCACATGATAATTTAATTGAATTATATATTATGTTCATTTCATGGCGAAACGGTAGAATTCTCGATCCCATCCATCCAAAAAAGTTTGAAATATATATATACATGTGCAAGTTTAAGATAAGTTTTCAATCGATCATAATGGGCATATTTGTATGTTTTTCCTACCTGCTTTAACCCAAGGTAGGATAGCATAGGTAAGTAAAACTGCTTAGTCAAGTTCTTAAAAATTTACACTTGTCATACGTTATTATAAGGTATGTGCTTGATGATATTAAAAAGCTATTATTGCTTAGATAATTGTAGGTGGTAAACGAATCTCTATTTTCAAATAAGATTCAAACATTTATGAAATTTTCTTTATTATTAACACTTTGTTTATTAAGTGTGAAATCTGCCACCTAAAAAGCTTGGCAGGTTCTCTAAAGGGTTTGTTTGTTGTTAAGTACAAAGCTTCACAATGGGCTATATGTACTCTGCCAACAACGGGTATCGAAACATGAAATTTAACATTATACGCACTCAAACTAACTGCTAAGCCACCAGGGGGTCATAAAAGGATTTGAGTATTAGTCACTTCATCCACCAGTGAACTGTCTGGTTTATGTTGTTCCGAAGTACAAAAATATACAGTTAAGCGTAAAGTTATTAGAAAAAATCACAAACCAACACCATTTTTGTTTGTTCAGTAGATGACTACTTTGCCTCTGTGAACATATTAGTTTGATCACGGTGTTAAACTGTAACTATTAGCTTGATGTTATAAATATAAATGTTAAAAAATAACCATTCGTGGAGTATAACATCTTACATAACTTGCAGTCCTAACGTTATTGCTTCACCTAATCTGATGACAAAGCTCTACGGGAAAAAAGGAACAAAATGCTATTTGATAAATAGATATACGGTATTGGAAATAATCATGTAAACGGTGAACGAATATATTATACATATATATTAAAAGCAAATACTACAGGAATGGCCGCCCCTATACCATATGTAAATTAATTGCACCAGAGTACAGTCACATGCTGATATTTTACACTGTGGTCGGTTGTTATTCTTACACAAGTAAACAACCAGTAGTAGTAATATCATCTCAGCTATGGCTTCCAAGGCTAAAATACAGCATGACAAGTATGTAGAACAAATCTTTTGCTGGAAAGGATACTACTTGTGAAAGTTTGCAGCAAGGTTCCATGTTATATTTCATAAAAATACATGCATATACATAAATATGTCCTGCAAAGTTTCGGCCTCTTAACTTGATGATAAATATATGCTCAATAGAAAATATAGAAAAACAATTAAAAAATGTTAACCAATATTCTGTTTATAATGTTGTCAATTAGAAGATCATGTTATCAAAAAATTGCGTTAAAACAATTAAGTGTATAAGAAGATCTAAAATATGATAGATCTATCGAAAAACAACTTTAAAACAAATAGTGCTTAAGAAGATAATTTTTGCGTCAAAAAACAAGATTTATTTATGTTACGGGTAAACTTACTTTATTAACATGCGTACAGAAAACTTTCGAGTACTTTTTCTGATATAAGTGACCTTCCAGTCACAAAATGTGGATTTGTATTCAGTCCAAGAGGGAAGAGAGTCAGGTAAACGAAGTGTTGTTTTAAAAAGGTCTTTTTGAAGGACAGTTTGAAAATTACGTTAAGTATGACCTGTGGATAGAATTTTCTTATTAAAGACTTAATTTGTTTAAAAGGTATTATACATTATTGTCCGAGGTATATGACGGTGAATTAAACTGAGCATTTATCAACTGTGGATTTCTATTTGTGAGAATTTGAATTATTTTGTTCCGAAATATCCTGGCTAAGCTTTCAATCATTTTCTCCGGGTATCCAATATACAATTGTATTTCATAATGAAAAAGAACCTCATAATGTAAAATAAAATAAGCTGAACAAATCTTAAAGGATCTGGTTAGTAGACATGTTACTAGGTTGATATTATGCCTTACAGGAATAAAGCTATAAAACTGGTTGATCTGTTCCGTGAAAGATTTCTTCCAATAAATTAACATTGCAAACCTTTTGAGCATCTCGAGTAATTAGCACATAAACTATTCTATTTTTTGAATTAATGGATAAAATCTATACATGCATGCTTCGACTATAAATGCTGATGAAAATGTTGAACTTCATCTTTTGATCAAAAACGAAAAATTGCCTTTGTGTTTTACGTCCTAAAATTGGCAATCGTTTTATGCCCTAAGTTAGTTGTAAGACATTTTTCGATAAATCTCCCCCGTTTTAAATATAAGACTTTTTATACAATTAATTAATTATTTTAAAACATTTTTTCAGTAACTTGATCTTCTAAATGACATCATTATAGATAGAATATTTATTAAAAGATATGTTTCATTTCCACCCACTGATAGGTTATAGGCAATATTCTAATAGTTACGGTTTACACTCCGAAAGCTGAGGAAGTATTAAAACCAAGCAAAATAGAAACTATTAGTTCATTGTACAATCTGTTTGCTTTTCTTTAGTATATTTTCTCTGATAATGTTCTGTACTATTAAAAAAGTAACCATCTAACTGTCGTCACTCGTTGTCTGTGGCTAATGTATGTATGTCCTTTGTATGATTCCATAATTATTTCCTTTACTGTAGATTAAGAAGTAAACTCCAGGCAAAAAAAAAAAACTCTTTTTGAAAACGTTAACCTTTATATAATGAGGAAATATTCAGATTATACAATTACAAATCATTGAATAATGTTAGAATGCTACCATAAAATTGCAACTATGTGACTATAGTTATCAAACATAAAATACCGAGGTATATGTTGTTAAGCACAAAGATACGCAATGGGTTGCCTGTAGTGTGTCCACCGCGGGTATTGAAACGCGGTTTTTAGCGTTATAAACGTTCAGAATTACCGCTGAACCACTGGGGGTCAAAAATATAAAGAATTAACATGAGTTGCAAAAGTAATTCTAATAGTCTCTAATAGTTTAGTCAATATATTGTAAGTCTGATAAGAAACAATAATAAAGCACTATATCAATACGGAAAATTGTATTCGCCAACTCTGTCCCCTAGTGGAACAATGGTAAGTCTACCGATTTACGATGTTAAATTCTGGGGTTCGATTCACTGCAGCGGACACAGCATAGAGCCAGCCCAACGACCAGCAACCAGTTCGTTGACTTTAAATACCATCTAACTCCAGAAATTGCTCAAAAGTTCACAATTGGTTAGCTTTAGACCAGTATACTTGAGGGTTGTTGTTTTTTCTCTCTTTTATTTTTTCCTTCTAGCACAACACCTTTTTTTTTGTTACAAAAATACACTTTTAAAAATATCATTATCACAACCTTGAAGTAAAAATACAACATATTTTTACAAACATAAAACTAGTTCTGATGTTGCTTTCTTACTTTAAAGTTACACAATGTGCTACCTGCACTCTGTACACCGCGGTGAATCGAATCTCGGACTGTAGCGTTGTAAGTTCGTAAACTTAAAGCTGATCTACCGAGAGACTAACTACGATACGTTGAATCGAACGAAATTATAAAATTCACATTTGTGTGAACTCAATAAGGTTTATTTATATTATTTAGGTCTTCATCAACGATTGTCATAAACTGAACAAATTATTGCAAAATAAAACAGCCAGTAACTTTTTCCACAACTAAACAACAGTTTCCAATACTTACCAAAATCACAAGAATGTCAAGTATATTCCAGAATGACTTGAAATACGTGCACTTATTCTGCTTAATCTGAGTGGAAAATAAGCAAAAATAATAATTAATACTACATGTAGTACACTTTTGAAATGGCATTATTTCAGCAGCAACTGTACTTGTGTTATCTTGATATTTTGTTATTGAAATATGCTTCATTTTTCATTCTGTCTTCCAAGTTCAATGAGATCAAGTTGTAATATAATAATAATAAGATATTTGATCACATATCTTAAGTATACACTTTAAGCATACAAATGTTAGATTGAAACATGTTCGTCGTAATATAGAAAGAAGCGGATTTAACGAAATATAAGAATATTAAACAGTGCTCATGAATAATATAAGATATATATATATATTCAAGATTGATAAACTGGACAAAAAAAGTGTTGTTTGGCCTAAAGATTAATATTTTGATACCTAGACAAACAGATATATATATATATATCAAAATGAACAAAAACAAGCCCAAACAAAAGTCAAACAAAGACGCTGCACAAATCAAAAGCATCCCCAGGGCACAGCCTATAATGTGGGATATAAAATTTGCCCTGGGTTTTGGAGGTGACTGCGGTAGTAGGACCCACAATGCGGTGGGGATACACCGTCTATCAGTCTTAACCTCCGTTCGCTAGTCTCCCACAAAGAAATAAAAAAATAAAAGTATAAATTAGTAGAGGGAGATGTGGGTGCCCTAGCCCACAACGTCCCACATCTATATCACCCTTCACTGCCTGCAGACAGTTGTGGGAAGGTGACCGCTCTCCAAAGTAAAATAAAGAAAGACAAAATAAGATACTACCACTATTCTCACCTCAATAGCTTCTTCAATGATATAGTAAATGATAAATAAACAGAAGATGCCTTCACAGGCTAGAATGACATAGTCGAAAGTGCTGACATATCGCAGTAACTTTACAGTCCGAAAACTCCAGGATGGAATCATCCCCCCGGTGGCTGGAAACTCGAACACAATCCTGTTGCAAACAGGATCAATTGAAATAAATAAGACGTCTTTATTCAACATAGACAGTATATAGAAATATATTAAATAAGCCAAATAAATTAGACCTATCAGACACAATGTGTCGAACTGTATTAGTATTCGAACTAAAGCAATAAAGCTTTCCTTACTTAGTAGAGAAATTTGTAACTTACATATCTTATTAAGAACAGTTGATATGTTATACTTTATTGCTATACTGCTAATAATTAATGGTACAAATAATAATTAGAAAACAAAAGTGTAACCAATGAAGCCTCCAAAAAATGCAAGGCTTATAACGATAGGTTAGATATTGTCATCAAAGCTGTGTCTCATTCAAACTAAATTCTGTAAAGCAACCTGAGCCTCCTATATACAAAGAACTTAATGTTACAGGTGTCTGTAATATGGGTACATACCTAGCTTTTGCGTAAAACATACAAATAAGATGTTTGAAATGCTATAAACAAACATTTCTAAATAAAAGCAAGAGTTCCAGTGAGCTTGATATTCATTTGTTGTTAAATGACAATACAAAGTTTCTACACATAGAGGGCGTCCAAAATTCAGTGTTAGTTTGCATCAAAGATTAAGAAAATGTATTTCAACCTACTAAACCTACATCATAACATAACGTTTTGGGACAACATGGGACCTATTGGTCCATCTTCTAAACTAAAACTATCAATAAACAAATAAAAAAATCTTGAAGCCAACCCTTATCATTCATGTACGTATTAAGCTTTATCTTAAACTCACTTAAATTTACTGCTTACAGAACATCCGAAGTCAACCCATTCCAAAGGCTAACCACCCTGTTAGAAAAATTAAATTCTCTCAGCTGAAGATGATTCCTACCCTGCCAAAATTTATATTTGTGTCCCCTAGTTCTACCATTCTAACTGTTAAGTATGAAAAAAAGATGATGCATTAACACTATAAATTTCCTTTACAATCTTAAACACCTCAGTTAGATCCCTATAACTCTTCATTTTTCAAAAGAAAACGATATGAAATATTTAAACCTGTCTTCATATGACAACCCCTCCATCCCAGGCACCATTCTCACCCGTCTCTGAACCCTTTCCAACAACTCGACGTCTTTCCTAAGATAAGGAGCCCAAGACTGAACACAGTATTCCAAGTTTAGCCTAACCAGTGACATATACAATGAAATTATAACCTCCTTAGACTTGTATCCAATATTTCTGTATATATTTGCCCTACCACTAGCAACAGCACACTGCTTGGCTGGCTTTAGAGACTGATCAACTATTACACTAAGATATTTTTTTTTCATGATACTATTATGGTTATTCCATCCAAATTATACTTAGAATTGAAATTATGATAACCCACATGCATTAGCTTGCATTTATGATAATTAAAACCCATTTGCCATATATTTGCCCAACATACTAAATGATCTAGATCCTTTTGTAAATCAGCAGCACCCTCTTCACAGCTAGCAACACCCAATACCTTAATATCATCAGAAAATGTAAGCAATTTATTGACTATTCCTTCATCTATGTCATTGATGTAACTCAAAAAGAGCAAAGGTCCTAAGACTGAGCCCTGAGGTACCCCACTTGTGACATCAATCCAGTTTGATTGAACTCCATTTGTAACAACTCTCTGCTTTCTTCCATCCAGCCACTCTTCTATCCGATTTGCTAACTTATCCCCCACATTCATAAAGATATTTTTACAAGCCTTTTATGTGGCTCCTTGTCAAATACTTTCTGAAGATACACCAAATCTACACTCTTACCCTCATCTACATAAGCAGTAACCTTTTCCAAGAATGTCAGAAGATTTGTAAGGCAAGATTTTCCCTTACCGAAACCATGTTGACAATCCAATAAAATTCTAAGCTTGGTTAAATGACTGATGTAAGACTAATGGGTCTATAATTACTGGGACAATTTTATCACCTCCCTTGCAAGAGGCGTTACATTAGCTAACTTTAAATCCTGTGGTACCTGTACACTATTCAAGTTCACTTCACAAGTTGCTCACATATCCATATCTTTAACCTCCTTAAAAACCGTTGGAGAAATATTTTCTGGCCCCAAAGCCTTATCGTCCTTTAAACTTCCCAATTGTTTCTTAACCAGCTCAGAATTAATGCAGTCATCTTGTTTGATCTCGTTTCCATCTATCAACTGATCAAGATGTGGAATACTGCTTAAATCTTCGTTAGTAAAAACCGGAAAAAAAGAAGAACAATTTAATAATTCAGCCATCGCATAATCATCAGATACTAGTCTTCCTTTATCATCCCTCAAGGATCCTACCCCTATCCTAACATTTTGTTTACCCTTAATGTATTTAAAAAAAATCCTTATTGTTAATTTTTACATTTTCAGCCAACCTTTTCTCATACATCCTTTTTGATATCCTAATTTACTGTTCACCAGTAAGTTTACTTTTCTTTAATTTTATCTCTTATGCTCTTTGTGAGCCATCCTGGTTTTTTAGTTGCAGCTACCCTTTTCTTTCTATAAGTAATATGTTTACGTTGAATATTTAAAACTTTATCTTTAAACATTTTCCACATCTGATCATTGTCTCCAAATAATTCAGCTGCCCAATTCGCCACAAATAATTCTTATCACATCCCTTCAAGATTAGCTTTTTTGAAATTGATAACCAAAATATCATTATTCCATATCTCCATATGCATCAATACATTGAACCTAATAGAGCAATGATCACTTGCACCCAGATGTTCCCCAATTTCCGCCCTCTCGAACATTTCTATATTTGACGTTAACAATAAATATAAAATAGCATTGTTTCTAATAGGTTCCTTGACTAATTTTGGGAATAAAAGGATTCTTGAACAGTTTCCAAAAATCTTTCTCCCTCACGGTTTGACTTTAGCATTCCCCAATCTATATGCCTGAAATTAAAATCATCCATAATATGACCCCATTAACAGTTAAAATCTTAATCTCATTGTAAAGTTTCTCATTAATTTCATCAGTATCATTTGGTGGTCAGTAACAAGTTCCGTCTAAAAGTATTTTCCCGTTATATCCGCTAATAAAACAATTGATTCAATCTCCTTGCTATTATGTTTGATACCTTCAACTTCAACAGGATGTAAGTCAAATTTTACATATAAAGCCACTTCTCCCCTCCCCTCTTTAATACTCTATCCCTGTTAAATAGCCTGTAACCCTGTATTTCAAAGAAATTTCTGTGATCAATTTCATCTAAGTTTAACCATGTTTCAGTTATTCTAATTATATCAAAATCCTCCATTCCTACCAGTGCTCTGAAGTCATCTATATTATTTCTTATACTTCTAGCATTGCAATAGTAACAATTAAGCCTATCATTATAACTACTTCTACACTCATTTCCTATGCTAATCTTTTCTCTGCCTCTATTCTTTTTTTAATTTTGTTTTCATAAAAGGAACACCTATACAAATTAGTAAAAACAGCACGTTATTGAACTAACCAACCCAAACCCAGAAACACTTAAAACTACTGGTGATTTAAAAGATTGTTTTAAATCTCTATCGTAAAAAGAATGATATCCATTCATAAAATGATAAAAATAACATTTCAGAAAGCATCAATAGATAAACACTGAAAAAAGTGACATAACAAAATATTCTGGTTTCTTGCCCTAACGAGCATTTGTGTTTAAGAATAAATTATTGTCGACCCGCCTAGGGAGTTCGTGGGAAGTACGACTTTACAACACATTTCTTTTGTATCTTTATCGTTCTTTGTGTAATTTTACGTAAGCGTGTCTAAACGTCGTGGCCTAGCATGGTCAAGTAGTTACTCGCAATCTGAATGACGCGGGTTCGAATCCCCATCCCAACAAACATGCTTGCCCTTTCAGCCATAGGGAGCGTTATAATGTGACGGTTAATCCCATTATTCTTTGGTAAAAGAGTAGCCCAAGAGTTGGCGGTGGGTGGTGATGACTAGCTGCCTTCCCTCTAGTCTTTCACTGCTACATTTGGGACGGCGAGCGCTGATAGCCTTCGTGTAATTCAAAACAAACTGACTAATTTAACGTCGTCCTTCCCATGAGTTAGTCAACAAACTGTTCTTAGAAACTCACCTTAACTTACATATCCATACCCGTAGATGACATAAAAAAACAAATACTAAATACTTTCATACTAAATGTGAAAATTAGACTTACTTCTGATGCTATTAAAGTTTCAGTGTAAAACGACAGTTCTTATTTTATCCTTCCCCATAGGAACACAATGTTGTTTTTCTTGAAGTAATTGATAAAACCCAACGATATACAAAAACGATTGTTATTTTTTTTCCTGTAATTCTATTACTTCACAATGTAGGCATTCAAAACCTAATTACTTTCGTTTACGTATCAGAGTTGAAAATTACTATTCTAATTTAAGTGAAATTTGTTTGTTTGTTTCTTGACAAAGCTACATAAGGTATCTGCCGCCCACCCTAATTTTGAACTCTCGGTCAGCAGCATCAGCCTCCAACCTATAAACAGAGGGATTGAACGTCACATTATAACGCTCACTCGGCTGAAAGGGTGACCATGTTCGACGAAGGACTTTAATCCTGCGACCCACATATTACGCCCTAACAACTAGGCCATGCCAGTCCTAAATAAATAGTGTTGTAATTGTTACTATTCATTTCCACATTTTACAAGATTGTATTATGCATTCTCTGTCAAAATCCAGGTAAACCAATAAATATGAGTTATATTCCGTGACTTCTAACATTTTAACAAGTAATATGAAAGGTCACAGCAGTTAATATTGACAGTAGAGAAACTAACAATGTGAAAGACTTATATTAGGTTCTACAGAAAATATTAACATAGTTATGTTAAGCAATTTCAAACCTATACATAGTTTTATCTAGTTTTTTTATACTTAAAATTCAACCCCTCCTCCAATGGCTAAGCGATATGTCTCCGGACTTATAACCCTAAAAACCGGGTTTCGATACTCGTGGTGGGCAGAGCACAGATAGCTCATTGTGTGGCTTTGTGCTTAACTACAAACATACAACTCTAAAATTTAGTCAATTACTTTAAAGTTAAAGGCAGGAGTAAAAACACACTTGGATAAATTACTAAACTGTATAGTTCATAAACTTTAAAGTTAAAGGCAGGAATAAGAAACACACTTGGATAAATTACTAAACTATATAGTTCATAAACTTTAAAGTTAAAGTCAAGAGTAAGGAACACACTTGGATAAAATACTAAACTATATAGTTGATACACTTTAAAGTTAAAGCCAAGAGTAAGAAACACACTTGGATAAAATTACTAAACTATATAGTTGATACACTTTAAAGTTAAAGGCTGGAGTAAGAAACACACATGGATAAATTACTAAACTATATACTTGATACACTTTAAAGTTAAAGTCAAGAGTAAGAAACACACTTGGATAAATTACTAAACTATATAGTCGATACACTTTAAAGTTAAAGGCAGGAGTAAGAAACACACTTGGATAAATTACTAAACTGTACAGTTCATTCACTTTACTACCGAGGAACACATTGAGCAATGCCATTAAAACATTTACAAATCTTATTATTTTAAAGCTGAAAAAAAACAACAGATACAACATTTTTCTACCCAAATCAGCGAACTTTTGTCAATTCATGATAGCATGTAAACATGTATAAATGTTTATCCATTATGTGAATAAAATCTCGTGGTTCTACTATTAAAATTTACTTTAGGAATTTTCAAAATTAAATTCGAGCACATATCAATTATTTTAGGCAGATTTAAAGTGCAATTTTTTCTAGTGTAGAAAAAATACGAAAGAGTTACAGGAGCTCAGAAAGGTGATTATTCGACACTTGGACAAGCATTTCAGTTTCGAATATTATAACTCTATTTATATTTTAACGTTTGATTTGGACTGAATCCGTGATAACCAATTAATCAAACTAGTCAACCAATCTGACATAACGAATTCAGATTACAACATAGTTTTGGAACCAACATGAAAGTGATCTTTAATCTTATTATAAAAATAAAAAATAATCACTACAACTACATATTCACTCAAATTTTCAAACCCGATAGATAAATAGCTTCACCTATACCTACAGAAAGTTTACAACAGATGGTTTCTACTGTACCAATCGTACTTATTGGATTATTCAGTATCAACGTTAGATTTAAAACTACATTACATTAGTAGCCAATAGGCCTAACATATGCGATAAAAAAACAGGTAAATTGTAGATTTTTTTTTCACATTCCTCTTAAGTTTTGCATTTCAGATTCAAAACCAGAATCATTTTGAGTATGTAGTATATGTACTTCTAATTACAAGTTTTAGGTCTGTTGACTTATGATATTTCGCCAGTTTTCGGCGTCTAAACCATACAACATAAGTAGCAATTCAGCAGAAAGAAAAAAAATTGCTCCATTGTGTAGATGTATATGTTCTATCATTACCATTTAGAAAATAGCAGGAAATAGCTTATACATTTTAAAGCGTTTAAAAGGAAAGAAAATATAGTCTTGGAAGAGATCATTGTATTTTTGAAAAACAAAATAATATTGAAATTAAATAAGCAACAAGTAAAGTAACTGCTGTCGTTTGATTGTCTTCCTGTGCGCCGTGGCTTAAAATAAAGGATGGGGCTACGCAACCTGTACTAAATACTGACAATGTAGAGTGACAGGTCTATTATTGGAGGGAAGAGATGATATCCTTTACCTGGTGATAAACTCCTATATCATGTAAATCACTAATCATTTAATCCAAATTGTTATAATAGTCTAGAATTCGTCGTGAATAATTTTGATTTTTATTAGTTCTATTAATTAACCACGTGGTTACATATGCATTTAATTACATTGTTATATACTACTAACTTATAGGTTATAGTTACATGTACCATGCTTTTAATTTAAGTATAATGCAGAGTTACTACTTTTGAAGGTCTAGTAAAAGTTATAATATTTTACTTTCAAGTACAAAGTTAGTTTGTGTTTTGTTTTCTTATTTAGGATTGATATCATGTGTTCATTTATAAACTATAGTACAGTGTCATGATATACTGTTTATAGTTCTAGTATGTAGTTTGACTAACAATTAGAGTTAATGTGACTTTATTTGTAAGTAAAAATACAGAGCTAGGTGTATTTCCGCAGGGTTCCCGAAAGTGTTCTGTTTGAAGAATAAATAAAACCAAAATAAGGGTCACAAATATTTTTATTTCTTGCATTTGAAGTTCATATGTTTTGCTGTTTTGTAGCCTACAGAGTGCATAATTCTTCTCGTGATTCGTGGCATGTGCATGTACTAATGACGTCACGACAGGACAACTTGCAACGTTAAGCATCCTATATGCGACGTCATTTTAGTGTCTGCTTAATCACTAACAGACAACACATTACTGTATAGTGGTGCGAGTGATTAAGATAGGTGACCCATCCAGGCGGCCTTTAGCCCACTTTCGGGTAAATTATCCCAAATATTTCAGTTAGCTTTGTTTAATTTTAGTATATATTCATCTTCAGACTGATGATGAGATGGTGCAACATTAGGTTAAATAAATCTATGTGATCAAAACAAACCAGTGTTATCTCATGAGAAAATTAGATGATATTGTGGAATGTTAGCTAAAATCACCCCAAATTCTACAGATTTTGTAAAAGTATTTAATTTCTTCTTGCATGAGTGTCCAAACAATTGATGAAGACTTACTTCACAACACAAAATAGATTTAAGTTGGCGTTGTATGTAGTAAAATCCAGAAATACAGCTCTTGTAGCTCGAGTGATCCATAAGTTTTCCCGTAGCTCATTCATGACAGACAGAGCTTGCGATTTGTTCGTTCCGAGGTCTATGTAGGACCCAGCTCCGCTATAAGTGGCTATAAGTCCCCAGTGACTAGAACCATTCATCTCCTTCTCTGAATTATATGTCCAGCTAGGTAAAAAAAAGAAGTAAATTCAAACAGATGATCTTCTTTAAATAAGCGCTGTAGGGTTTCTTTTAAAACCAAATCTGAATATTTATAAAGGCAAATGTTTAAGATTATAAGAACATCATATATTTTTCATTTTCAGGTAATCTTTAGCACCAATGTTCTAACAACTAAATCTGTATTCCTAAATATTTAAATCACTCTTTGATTTGCATGTTCACTGACTCGAATCATCAAAGGTTTACACAAGTTCTAACATGAAATAGACTAGCTCGAGGATGCTTCAAAAGTGGACCATGTCTGTAGTTAAATACTTAAGAACAGATTATATACATTTAGAAACACCAGTTAAGTTATTTAAAAACAACGCGAATAACACTGCTTAGCCCTAATTTAACATTTTTGCCGTTTTACAAAAAACGTAATTACTTATATTGAGCTCTCAATAAGAATTATTTATGGTAAATATCTACATTTTAAAATTATAAATGACTCTCTTACTTAGCAGCTACCTGACTGTGTAACTAATTTATTTGTAATCAACAGATAACTACAATAAAAAAGACCATGCATTTCAAATTCTTTTACCACAAAGACTGCATGGCAAGATTATTTAGCTTCTACAGTTGTAAGTGGCATTTATTATAGTTCCACGTTGAAATTATAGTTATAAAAATAAAAATACAGTACGTCTATTTTAACATTTAAAGAAAACAAAGTAATATCTTACCCGAGATGATATGGTAAAACAAGTTCCGGTCAAACAGGCCAAAAACAAATACAATAATGGTACATACATGTTACAAAGTAGAAATGATAAAACGTACTCTAGTAAGAGAAAGTTCTGAAGAAGTAAAACCCAATGATTGAAATAAACTGCCTATTAGATTTAACCCCTATTCGCTGGCCTCACACATGATATAAAATAGAATTAAACTCGTATCCAGTGTCACTAACAGAACTTGTAGACAGAGGACAAAGTACAATAATATTTAGTTATGATAGTTTCATTCTTACATGTTACTATACAAGAGGATTTACACCACAAAAAATATGAACTATTCAATACGTGCAACCATCTGGGAACAGATTTAATTTATGAACACAGCTTCAAGGCTACTTTAAAACTGACTACATAGATGAAGAAATCAACTTGATATAGCATTTCTTCAATCACACCAACAAATTTCCACCAACTATTGTTAAAAATTTCCACACAACCGCCAGAAAGAAAAACCTCAAACTCAACTCACAAACAAAACTGACACTAACACATCAAACAACAACACAACATTACACCGCAATTTACCATTTATCCCTGAAATCAATTAAAAAATAATAAACGCTTAGAGAAAAATTGCCAATAAACATAAAGTTCCTGTTGACTTCAATGTCACTCAAAAAACCGGAGCTAAACTAAAATCATTAGTACAAACATACATAGAATCACACAATACCATTGTCATTTGTAAAATAATGTCCAATAACTGTCCAGAATTCTACATCGGAGAAACTGGAAGAAAGTTGGAAACCAGATTCTACGAACATAATAAAAACCCTCCCATGTTTACCACTATTGCAACTCAAAAACATAGAATTTCTATACAAAACACTGTAATTTGAAAAAAAAGAACCAAGCGTAAATAAACGCAAAATTAAGGAAGCTATCTTAAGTGAGCAAAACAGCTCCACCCGAAACCAACACCTCTGGGTACCAAGATACCTTCATTGAACTGTTAAGCAATCTCCAATCATGTGACCTCTTTGTTCCATACTGTATATATATTCCTATGTCCATGTAAACTACTTGCACCTGATGATGACATTATCTTGTCGAAACGTTGTACATTTACAATAAAGTTTTCTTTATTTCCCGTTACCAAACTTTTATTTTCTAAAAAGCGTGTTCCTCGTCATCAAATTTAAATACATCATATTTGTTAATGACATTCCTTTCCCAGAACTCTACATGACTAATGTATCACAATACGCTGACGACATAGCAATTTTGAGCACTTCAAACAAACCGGAGGACCGCTGCTTCATGTGTTCAAGCTACTCTAAACCAAACAGCATGATGCAACCGCTGGATAGTTGCACTTAACTCCGACAAAACACAAGCAGTAACCTTTTATAGAGGTATACGCAAGAAAAAGAAACAACTCCCCAAAGTTAAGCTTAAAATTCATGATACAAGTATCATTTTCTCTAGTACAATTAAATTCTTAGGAATCACATTCAATAGACGCACAGTATGGAACAATCACTTCGAAAAAAGCAGTAGCACTGCTCTACAAAAATACAACTATATAAAGGAAATAGGGGTAAAATGAAAAGGGTGCCAACCAGACACAATGATGACTATTTCTAACACCTACATTATACCTTCATTTAAGTATGATAATATGATTATGTGTAACACGCCTGACTGCTTATTCCAGAACCTAAAAACAAATCAAATCAGAGCAACAAGACTATCGAACAGATTACCACTTTACACCCCAGAGACTTACCTTAATACCATTTCCACCAAAGAAAGACCCACTACCCTAGCCCTATAGTATTATCGAAAAGCTAAAAATAATTTTAATCACTCGCCGCCACACCACAACCCTGGGCAACATATAAATCTCCTTTTAATTATATTACAGAAATTTATCTACAACAATAGCTATGTGTATTAACATGTATTTCTTACCTTTTCTTAGGTCTCACTGTAAAGGCACTGTTCGGGCATTCTATTAGGTGCCCGAGCAGTGAAATTGGGTTTTCTCTGGGCACTCCTGTCCCCCCGCCCCACAGCAAAATTACGACATTGGACCGCACGATCCCCACCGTCCTGAAAGGGGGCCCCACACTTAACCTCCGTTTTAAACCTCTGGACCATATGACCACTAAAAATGTTTATTATACCATAAGACTCCACATTAACCGCAATCTCCAGTACCTTATTTTTATTTTTGCTCGCCCTATCCCCTTTGTCCGTCCCAAAGCCAACCTCGCCTCCTTTGCCTGTCGCATTAATTTGCCCTGAAGCTGGCATAGCCAGAATATTCTACTAATTAGCCTAAGACCTACTCAATTGTGATATTGATTTTGTGTGAGGGATGAAGAGAAACCAAAGTTTCTGAACATCCTTGGCGGTTCCTCATCCCTTAGCCGAAAAACTTTAAACCAAAATTCCTACCAAGGTAAACAGAAAATAAAAAAAATATTGGATCAGATATGGGTGCTCATACTCACAGTGTCCCATATCTGCTACTAGTGTTTTAGTTATATATAGAGTGAGATGTTTTTTAAATGTCATTATATCAGCACAGGCCAAACGAACCAAATAATCTAATGAGCTCCTGGATCTCCCATGCATAGCCAACGTTAATAACATAATATAACGTTTTGTATTGTTAGCTTAAACAGACATAATAATGGTCTTACGCTGTTCCATTCATTAGTCCAAAGGGTTCTTTTTCTTCAATATGGCTGGAATAGACAGCATAACACTGGGAGATAGCTTTCTTAAAGTCGTCATGCACATTGCAGGAATCATTCTTCACTCTGAGCTGTCGTAATCTCGGAGGTCCTAAAAGTCGGTTTTCATAGAGAATGTTCCGGTCCTCTAGGTCAGTAGGATTGTCATTATACCATGTCTCCCAGTAAAGACTGTCCAGCATTACATAATCTACAAACTAGAAAAAAGAAGATTTTAGCAAACCTAATGTACACTGGAGGATTATAAAAATTGTGGGAATAAATATGCAATTTATCTCCAGAAAAACTACTTTCTTTATTCTGGTTTTTGTTGTTGTTGTTGTTTTTTCAAAGCTTTGGTGTGTCAACTTCTCCAGAAGATAATTCTTGTATTGCAAAAAAACTGGAAATATAATTGGCAGGCTTTCATTTTGCAAATGTTTAGTTAATTGTAGGTCGCTAAAGGTAAAAGTTGATTAATAATTTTAAAAGTATTGGCTGAGAATACTGCAATATGTGTTATAGTAAAACATCTATGGTCTATTAGGTTCTTACGGTTTTACTAACGTTTTGACCATTTTGAGAGCTTCTAAGCCAATTTCATGGGATATATTTTACTTATAAAACTCAGAAGTGTGTTTTAATAACCTACTGGTATCATTTTTCTCTTTATTTCCTTGCAACCACCTTCCCACAACTGTCTGCGGTCAGTGAAAAGTGGTATAGATATGGAACGTTGTGAGCTTTCATACTCCTATCTGTTTTTTGTTTACAACAGTTGAGACGTGCAAATTGAGGTTAAATGTGGTAGATGATGTATCCCTACAACTTTGTATGTCCTGTTTCCGCAGATACCTCAAACTTCAAGATATATCTTATAATTTCCCACATTATAACTTGTAACTTGGTGTTATTATTGGTATTGCCTTTCCTGGTGTGTTTCTTTATGCCAGATCTTCATAGTTTACCTGATTACAATCATCATGGGTTTGGAAGTGCTATTTTTACACTGTTTTACTTTTCTTATAATTTTATATAAATATATACAGAAGCCTCACAAGAAGAGTGTCCAACATTCTATTCCTGCCTACTTCGTTTATTCTTTCTATCCTGTAGACAATAAATCAGGTGGACTAAAGTTATAAAACTTAGTTATGCTTATCATACAATGACTAGAGGTTTCTATGAATTGAATTATTGGAGGCAATGCATGTACTGCAACGTCTGTTTATACGACACCAGAAGAATCAGATATTAATGCGGACCCATAACATTTATGTTTTGTTTGCTTTACAATTTGTCCCTCATTTTGCAATTCCATAAGAAGCAACAGGATTTCGTTCATTATCTATATAGGTGGATTTCAATACAAATGTAAAAATCCAAATAAGTTTCTATGCATCGACGTTATGCATTCGTTAGTTTCTATAAAAAAGTAGAAGAATCATAGACACACTTTTGTACGTACTTAAAAGTTGTATAGTATCATGAACACAGAAAAACACGTGAGACTGTACAGTTTTATAACATCATGCCCGTTCCTACCTTGCTTCCTCACTTTTTTGGTGCACCCATTCCTACACTTTCTATTTTTTAAATATTTTTTTACACTCGTTCGTGCACTTTTTCCATACAAGATGACATGATATTATGCATCATTCATTCATTTGTGTTGATATCCTGTATATATATATATATATCATCACTGTGTGTGTGTGTAGTGTGTGCATTCTTTTCACTTATGGTGTGTATGTGCATGTGTACTGTACATGTAATGGCACACCCTCTATAGTGTACAGTGTCATTTGGGTGATGTACCGTGAGTTGTGGTTGTGTGCATATACTAAGCATTGATAAATAAGTTAATTTAATTAATTAACCTTTCATCTAGTTCAGGCAATAACTAGAATTTCATGTAGGTAATGTGAAAGAGACAGGTACTATTCATGTAAAGTATACTACTTGGCCAACTAAGTACAAATAACGTTTAAACTAATCTTCTGTTAAATGGGAGGCTTGTTTGACAGAATGAGTAGCAGAGAAAGACAGAATTACAGTCTCACTTTGGCAGATGCAATGTCAGTTCAACCGAAAAATAATTTAGTGATCACCTCAAGCTCAAAAAATTATTGATATACTAAATAATTCCCCAATGGTCACAAAAGCTGACTGATTCAGCCTCGAAGACAGAGTTCACCTTATAAACGCTTGAAATACTTTCAACTTGAATAGGTTTTCACCACGAAAAATTAGAAACAACGCTCTTCAACAAAGCTTCATCTGTAAAAAAAAACTGATTGCGGCAGTTTGAATTAGTTGTAGACTCCCACACTACATATTAGATGCTTCTTGAATGCAAACTTGATTTAATTTACAAAACCTATTATAAATTCCTTGCAAAAGAGTGTTGCTTGTTTTCTAACCCAGATAGTGAAGCTTCTCTCAAGGCTCCCCCTACACTGGCGTACCCCATACTTCTCACAGCTTTCAGATCTTGTCACACAAAGCTGTAAATCGAGAAAACCACACCTACTCAGTATAGGAGTGAGCGAGCAGACATATGTATTTTAAAATGGCATCCCTGTTCAAGGTATTACGTGATGTACGTCAAATATCTCTTCTTTTTTGGTGATGTTTAGAAGACTATTTAGTAGCACTAGCATATTGTCTCTGTGCTATTGTTCTATTTGTTGCACTTATAACTATGGTAAGTCTATTTGTTATACAGCTAGAAGCATTCCAGTTTTTCAGGTCAAGCCATGAACTTTTCAGACAACCCTCGTACAGTCACATGTTATTCAAACACCTAAAGTATTTTAAGTTATTAGAGGTAGTAAAGGACATTTTGTCAAAACCTATAAGTCATATATTGTGTAGCATATGTTCCAACGGACTGCCATGATTATCTTAGCGTATATAGAACATAACAAGATTAATTATACTTACCCTCCAGAAATCCACAAGCTGAGTAGAACCCTTGACGTTGTTCCGGTTATCCGTGAAAGGCGACTCTAAAAACAATTCACTGATTACTTTGGTTTGGTAGTACATCACGGAACTCATCATTCCAAATGTTACTGGAAGAGAAGATGTTATTAGTCCGATGATTTAATGGTGACTATACTCATTTTCAAAATATAGTTAAGATCAATATTCACTTCTATTATCTATTTGTTATAATGTGAAAGTTAAATATGTGAATTCCAAGTTGTTGTTTTTTAATAATAGCTGATTAAAATTGCAAATGTCATATGTATGGCACAATAATTACAATTTTAGACCCTCATCAACGTGACCTTCCATAAACAGTGATCTTTTACGTACACGATATATTCTATGATACAGGAAACCTTATAGAACCCGCCAAAGACTTTCACCTTAGAGACCTTTTGCCTACCTGTTCTTTTACAGCGATTCAAGTGACCTTACACAACTCACTCACGTCTATCATTGTAATGGTGTTTCACGAATAACAAAATATATCTTCAATGATGTAGAATATTATAAAGAATGCATTTAAGCTGAATTTCCTATATAGTGCTGTATGGCTATTTCGTGGATTCAATTAACACAGGTCACTACAGTGAACCTAAAATTACTTAACAGATTTAGATGGATATGAACCGTAGTTATTACATCGATTGATTAAAACAATTCACTCCTTTATTATTATCATTACAACTGTCATTAGGTACTCAAGTGACGAACTTTTGGACCAGTTTAATTTTGTAAGCACTGAAGTTGAATATACCAATTTATTATTATACCATTAAGAGTAAGCGTATTCACCTTATGAATTAATCCAATCTACATACTATATGTAGAATGTATGTGAATGACTCATATTAACAATAATTTTATAACCGCAATTCATTCAACGTAATGATAATTCTGTTAAACTACATCTTTGTAACTAATTTAAACCTGAGTTTATAAAAAGCGGTATTCATTTCTAACGATAAATCTATTCCTAAGTGTACATTTATTTGTTCTATTTTTAAGACATTTATTGTTGAGTTAGCTTCAGTTAAAAAGTCGCTAATAATTGAAATATCCAATTATCCTAAATATCAAATACTGTAGTAACAACTCAATTAACGTTATCAACTCACAAGAATAACACCTTGAAAGCTCAATTTATTTATGAGCTACTCATAACAACAGAACGTTGGTAGAACTACAGTAGTACAAATCATATGTTACAAGCTCTAATAACTTCGTAAATGACCTGTTACTATCTAGGTGTTGTTGGTCTACACAGTTTTGAACAATACCATGAATACTACATTTTTGGATATTCTCATTACACTTGGTTATCTTATGATTCAAAAGGCAAATAATCAGCGTCTTATTGAAATATTCAAGTGTCTTCCAATAGAAACAAGTATTCAAAACCTTTCACATCTTCTTAAAAATGTTGAGTTTTTGCTGCTGAGAAACTATACTCTAAATGTGTGCCTATAATCGCTAAAACATCCTTTGTAAATAATAATATTTATCAAACAAAAAACTGATTTTTTTTTGATTTTTTCTTGGATAATTCGCCTGAACATTATATGAAAATTGGACTGAATTCTAATTACTTAAAATAAAATTTAATAAATAGACCTATTAAACAATTATATGTAAATGTATTTCTAAAAACGATAGTAGAAAAGTTTTTACTGTTAATTACAACAATACGTTGAATATTTTTTTTACTTATGTATATTACAGTCTTGACCAGTAGATATCATTGTGTAGATAAGACTGATGATTAACTACATTATGCCAGAGTTTAAGGGATTGTTGCCAATATACCTGTAGTTGGATTTTTAAAGATATACTGGATAAAAAACGCTTGCTTGCAAAATCGGAAGAGAATAAATAAGTTAGCTAAGTTTAGTCAGCAAGACATGTTTCATATATCAATAGCGATTTAGTTCACAAGCTTTACAGTATCTTAGTGGTAAGTCTGAGGGCTTATAACGGACCCCCCTCCACCACCATCACCAGTGGTCAGAACACAGATAGCCCATTATGTAACTCTGTGTTTAACAACTAACAAATGAGTAGTTAAGATGCTCATCTGGAGTCAGAAGTAAACAAACATGACCTTGACCCGATTTCGACAAGATCGTATAAATGTAATGACGTGCCAAGGGCATTGACCTAACTTGTAACTCATTCATATGAATACGACTTCAACACCAGGGGTGTATTACTAGGCGGTATAATATGATGATGTAATCATATTATATGACCTAGTAAAATACCTTGAGACAATTTTGTTGAAAATGGTGAACTTATTCAATAGCTATGTGACTTCCTCTGTAAACTGTAAGTAACTGTATTCTATATTAGTATGACAAATAAAAATATTTTCATGAGATATTTTAGTTTTATCATGCAATCTACAAACAAGATTATTATGATATAAGGGTATTAATATTGTCTACATAACATAAATCAATGACAACATCTTCAATTTTTAAGAACATTTATTAATCTTCGTACAATAAGGATTTTGATATTTGATCTAAATAAAAAGGTGTTGTTACATTAAGTCTCTCTGTAACAAAATGATGAACAAATATATCATTTATATCTTTGTTAGATTCACATTTGGACAATAATATTTGTTTGGATACATATCTACATCTGTACTAGCCATAATATATATATACAATATTGTCCACACATTGTCGAATAAGGTCCTTGCACAACCTTCTTATTGTTAGTTCATGTTTGACAGCTCTTTTTTGATGAGTTTTCTTATGCTGTGAGTCCGTGGAGTAAACCAAGAGGATGAACATATTCTTATTTCCCATTTCAACCAAAGTAGACACAGACCCAGTGACTTCCAGGCTTATGACTTGGGTCCAAGTTGATGATGTCAGTTGTTAGGCAGCTGATCTCTGGCAAACACGCCTCTATGTTTCTTTCTCTTGTTTGAGTAGAACAACCCATGCACATTTAGAAACACATCAATACACATCAGAACATACTTAAACTGACTGTTATAGTAACGTAAGCTAGATAGATCTACTAAATAAACCAGCTACTGTTCATCAATAAAAGAAATGATCACTGTGTTTCTCATAAATCTATATCTAACAGGTTTGTGAAGTGTATATGTATCTTGATGCCTTAATCAGTCCTTGACCAGATTAAGACTGATGGGTTTACCTAATGCTTTTTCTAACCTATATAAAGTTAGTATGCCACCGTAGCTAGCAGGATGTAAACTATTATAATAAATAGATTGTAGAATTTTATTTATATTATTTGCTACATCTGATTAATTTGAACCACCTTTTTCTCTTTGGTTTATTCTCTGTAACAATAATTACAATCTGGCCTTTACAGCAGGAAATGTTAAGCATTAGATGACTAATAATATTAACAGGATTCAGCAGTTGACAACAGCCCATGACGACTATTAAGAAATAAGTGATCATATAATACAATATTCGTTTATTAAAAATGAGTCCATCTAGATACAGTTTGTTTGGGTCTTCATATACGACCATTTGTCTACATTTCCAACAACTTCTTGTGGGATATTCACATATGATAATAGTTCTGCAAATTCTTTCCATCAAGTAGGGTTAAAAATATTTCATTTCCATAATACATCGATTATGTCACCATTAATCACTACTTTTCCTCGATCATTCCATGTTACATCTCTAGTTGAACGTATTAAGTTTAATATTATTTCAGCTTTTTTTATATTCTAGAGGTACACTGTCGATGATATCCAAACTTTCATGAGTCAGCAATTCCATTTTAATTTTAACTGATTCCATGGCTTGCAATTGAAAGATTTCATGATGTTGTTGCAGCTTATTTGACATTATATTCCATATCTTTATCTGTAGAGTTTAAAACTTTATGAATGGGTCTTTCATAAACTTTAGGTTGATAAAGCAACTATACTAGTTCTTCAGGGACGAGAATCATTCGTTTTGCATGTTCCATTTTAAAGATCAGCAGCATTACTATTAGCCCATACAGCCAAACCACCAAATAATGAAAGTATTGGTGCTACAAGTTATGATAAAATTCCGCCTTTCTGTATTCGTAAGTTTCTTTTCTATTTAACAGATGTTTTCTTATCAGCCGATGCTCTCAATAATATCTTGTATCATATAAGTTTCTGCTTTGTATATTCATCATGGGAACATTGTAAAGTCATTGTTAGCTACGGCAATCATATTCTTAATTTGTTTGTGTGTAGCTTTTGTTAATGTTTGGAGCAAATTCTAGTGATGTTTAACTCTAGGTATCATTATAAATAAATGACAAAAAGAGTGTGTGTGAGCAACACATAAATCTATTTATTTACACATATATATATGTACAATCATTTACAATTGATTTAGATATAACATCGACTTTTTATCACTAAAATTATAAGTTATTTCATTATTCTGAATTGGGCATTCTAGAGTTGATTTATACGTTTGATTACTCTGGAACAACTAACTGACTCCAAATTATAGCAGTTAATTTGGAAGAGACTTCTCAACAATTCAGTTTTCTCTTTCCCTTTGGTAAACAATTAGCCACATTTCACAAATAGATGTGCTCAATAGTTCTTTATTCCCAGAGGATTTTGTGAATATTTCTAGCCACATAATCACATGACCTGTGGTCTGTCTCTGATAACAGTTGCTTCAAAAACGTATTTTTTAAAAACACGTATATAACCATTGAATAAAGATTTGAATGCTAGTTCTTAACTAGTGTTTGGCCCATCCTTCAGATAGAATCCTTCAATATCTATTACGCCCGAAGTCATCACGATGTATTGACATACATCACATGGGAATGTACACTACAATCTCATCTCCTGGAAATAAACCAGTTCTTAAACGTAATTGTTCAGGAATTTGTGGTTTCAAATCAATGGTTAGATATCTAAACGGTTACTGAGTTGCATCTCGATAGGCTTCCCAAAAGTATTTGACATGTGTTGCAAACATTTGTATCACTAAAACATTCAACTGAGACATGTTACATTGTTTAAAAAATTATGTGTTGAGAGTTTAAACGAATGTTATGCATTTCTCTACCATGATGAAATAGATTA